ACCAGCCGGTGGCCCCCATCTCAGACTCCGACCTGTGTATAGAGGAACCGATGTATTTTACTGATTTTATTTGCAAATATAAACTCTATGGGGATACGGTTCACGGCCAGCGTGAGTTTGTGAGTGCGCGTGCAAGGTGGCTTTGCACGCGCACGTGGGGTTGATGCATCACGGGAGAGTGTGTCCGGAGGGGCGTGGGGATGGAGAAAGGACTGTGTGTCTGTCGTCCCCCCCCCGCCCCGAAAATACCCCTCATTCCTGCCTGCCCCAGTCTTCCCCCTCCAGGAGAGGGTAACAACCTAATACTGCTGCCTGTGGCAGGCCAGTGGGGATAGGGGGGGTGTTGCTCAGCTGGGGGCTCGCAGGGCATTGTCCCCCTCACCATGGAATCATGGGGGTGGGAGCGGAGAATCCACGCATGGAACCCAGGCGTCCGGGCCTTTCCCTGGTTGTCCCCCCACCCCTGTATTCCAGTCCCCAGCAGGAATGGGAAGTTAATCCATCCAATCAGGACAGGGGGGAGGGGCTCAGCACCATGTGATTCGCCCAGCCTATCCCGAGCGAGACGGTGGGCGTGGTCACGAAGTGGGACAAGAACACCCAGCCCCGCCCCCCAAAGCCCCGCCTCCACCATATGGCCCCGCCCCCAATTCACACTGCCCAGGAGGGGGAGGTTCTGTCCCCCCTCCCAGAGTTGGGGGGTCCCCCTGCCCCGCCCACGGAGCATCCCCAATTCCCAGGGCAAGAACCCTCCCGAATCTTAGCCCCCCCCAGCCAGCCCCGGGGGGGGGGGGAGTTCAGGGCACCCCTGGGCAGGGCGGAACTTAAGGAGGGTGCCCAGGGATGGGGGACAGGGACCCTCGTGGGCCTGGTGATGGGGGAGGGGAGCTTCACAGGTTAGGCCCCTGTTTGATAGGGTGCCTGCTAATGTGGGAGGGGTAGCGGGGGGGGGACCTCTGGGCAGCCAGGAGCAAGGGGTCCCGCTTACTATGAGACCTGTCCTGGGAAGTTAAGAACTAGGGAGGAGGGCTCGGTGGGGGCAGGGTCAGCGGGCTCCTCACCCCCAGTGACCCCCCCCCCAAGCCAGAGAGAAAACCGACCGCAAGCCGGGACCCTCCCTTCATCCAGCACTGAGCCAGGGAGAGGGGGTGGGACACCCCAGGAGTCCTGGCTCCCAGCCCCCCCTGCTCTAACCACCAGCCCCCACTCCCCTTCCAGAGCCAGGGAGAGAACCCAGGAGTCCTGGCTCCCAACCCCCGCCCCCTGCTCTAACCACCAGCCCCCACTCCCCTCCCAGAGCCAGGGAGAGAACCCAGGAGTCCGGGCACCCAGCCCCCCCCTGCTCTAACCACTAGGCCCCACTCCCCTCCCAGAGCCGGGGAGAGAACCCAGGAGTCCTGGCTCCCAGTCCCCCTGCTCTAACCACCAGCCCCCACTCCTCTCCCAGAACCGGGGAGAGAACCCAGGAGTCCTGGCTCCCAGCCCCCCGTGCTCTAACCCACCAGCCCCCACTCCCCTCCCAGCGCCGGGGAGAGAACCCAGGAGTCCTGGCCCCCTCGCGC